CTAACAATGCTTTTACTAGATTTAAAAACTTATTCAAAGTCATTTGAAGTTTGGAAGCTTTGATTGTCTAATATAATTTTTTTGCATTTATTTCATTTATATATAAGTAGCCTTTGGTGCGTATGAGTAACATTGAATATATAGTTATTATTTTAAGAATAACAAAGTTTAATTATACATATGTACAATGTAGTATTGTTATAATGATTGTCTATTTATAGATTTTAATGATTAATTTTACTATTTTTTCACTTTAAGAGTTTAAGTTATAAGTTTTGCTATAAGTACAAAATGATTAAGAACTAATATTTATCAACTAATTATCGTTAAATTTTCTTTAATTTTTAATATATATTTTAACTTAATATATTGCATTTTAGTTAGAATCTAACTCAATGTTACTTGGAAAAGGTTTTTATAACTTTTGCATACTAACAGAATAATAGACTACGTTTAACATTCTTTAAACTTAAATTGATTCTCCGATAATACTAAATTCTCTTCTTTAGAGTAGTAAAGAGAATAATGAATTTATTACTTTTCATTAAGTAAAATTTAAGATTTGATTATAATATGTGATTCTTCTATTCTTCATATTTTATAACAATGCAGAGGTTGAGTAAAAAATTATTTTTCAGAAAATATTTACAGAAACTAAGATCTTCAATTTCAAACCCTCATAATTTTCAATGACTAATTGTATATTAACTCAAGATTATTTAATAGAATTCGTTTATTAATCCTTGAATAAAGACAGATAGATGTATATATATAACATAAATCCCTTGGAGTGTCATGTTTTTCAGATAATCACTGAAATTTTTTTGAAATTATAGTTGAACTAAACCTTGGTAGGTCTGTCAAACAAAAACAACTTTTATGTGGTTAAATCGACATAGTTAAAAAATTTATGTGTAATAAGAAATCATCTCCAATATTAAAATCATGTTAAATCATTTGTACTTTTCATAATCCAAATCATTCAATTCATTTAAATATTAATGAAAATTTTGCAATGCAATAAGTCATCGTTTTAGATCGGTGAATATTACCTTATTATTGTAGGGTAATAGACGTTAAACAGAAATTTTTTAGGTTTGTATTAGCGTCTATGTTATTTATTTAAAATTGTTAATTTTTTTATTAAGGTTGATTTTTTTTCTTAAATCTGTCACGTCTTATGACGAAAAAGAAAAAGAAACTAGAAGAGTTCGAACAGGAATGAAGAAGTAACAACAAACATTTGATTCAATAAATTAATCCATTTTGGTTGTTGCATCTTCAATACTGTTTAAACCCTTCTTGGTAACTTTTATTTTATAATTAAATTATTATTTATTTATTAAAGTTGTATTGTTATTGTATGTAAATAATTTTATTATCAAAAGATGTATTTAGAAACGTTAAAAATAAATAAAAATAAAAAAGTGATGTCGCTGTTATATAGGACTTTAAAATCTAATGTGACCATAAATCCGAAGTACATAAATAATAACGAATTATTGCTTGCATAATGTATATGTTTAATATATTATATTGTATAAGAGTTAAACCAGACTATGAATTCTTAAATAAGTAGAGGTTTCAGGGGCTTATAGTGATACTCATATAAGAATACTGTTTCGAAGTTCATATTAAATAATTGATTTAAAAGATTGCTTTATATCTAATATTAAAAGGTCCGGTATATTTTAGGGTGGATTTGCATAGACCGCTGAGTGTATAAAATAATATTTTAATAAATGCAAAAAATGCATGGACTATTTATTATTTGTAATATTGATGATGGGTTGTTATCATAAAATACTTGATCTAATAATTAACAATTTTAATGGCTTTTATTTTCTCTATTTTTTTCGTTTTTACTGTTGCTAAATTTTTGATTTGCTGAAGTATATACATAGATACACAAGCATGAATGTAAGTAAATTAATAAATCACTGAATATTAAATTAATCAATCTTATTGCTATTTTATTCTCGTTTTAAAGTGTTATTTTATCTTTTAAATAATTAAAACCTAGAAACCAAAATTAAGAGCATTTTGAACTGCAAAATTTTATACTTAATAAAATAATTAATTTTAATGCAGTTCAAGTTTTGAAAAATTTGATTTATTTTATTGGAATTTTCAATTATATTTGGTATCTGGTGTGATTACAAAGAAGAGGAGAAGCTATTTTAAAAAGATAAGCAAAAAATCCAAAGGAGATATTAGTTATCAGATAGGCTTATGTCCTTTAAGAATTGTTACGTTAAGGATGGTGCTAAATAACTTCACTTATATAATAATAACAAATAATACCATTAATAATCAATTGCAGTTAATTATTTATTTATTTTTAAAATGAATTAGAATAAAACTAATCAATTTTAGTTTGAAGTGTTCTTCTATCAGGTTCTATTAGGAACCCGATAATTACTAAAGAGCTACAGAATATTTTTTAATACTTTTTAGTTTAGCAACTAAATTATTTTAAGCCCATCTTTATAAATGTTCTACAGATGAGTATGACTAATCCCTGACTTAATAATATTTTGTTTAAATGTGGAATTATTCTCAATTCAACTATTAGTCAAAAAATATTGTTCTTTCTCTACAAGGTTTTTCACTTTCTTCTTTCTCTACATTGTGATCATTTGGTCCGAATTGGAATTACGAAGATCGTACCACAATTGTTTAGTTGTAGAAGTTGTGATATAATAGTTGCGCAATTATTGTATTAATTAAATTTTTTTTTTTTAAGTTGATGGAATTAATTTAAATATTAACTCAACAAAAAAATTTTTCCACATTTGTCAAGACGTACTTTGTAATTGTCTTATAAAAACTTTTTTCTTCATTACCATATTTCTTCATTATTTATTTTTCATATTATTCACTCTCAACTCAAATTATTATTAATAATAATAATAATTTTTTAGTTATTAAAAATATAATTATATATAATAAAATAAACATTTAAATATAATAAGATTGTTTAAATTGATGAAATAGATACATATATACATTTTTAACAGCGGACCTTGTGTTAGTTACCAAAAAAATGTCAACTTAAACATCATTTTTTGATGGATGGCACTACCTAGCAAAACCTAAATTTGTCAGTAAATTAAGTAGGCAATTCCATTTATATATAAGCCTGGTTTTGAAAAGATTAACTTCATTTTTGCTAAGTTTTTTTATTTTTAGTTTGCTTAAATAATAATAATTTTTATATATGTTGCCTATATTCTTAGGCAACACTCGTGTTATGATAAATATTGTAACAGCATATTATTACATTTCACACGATACGTAACATTCTTGAAAAATTATTATTATCCATAATTTATTCTGCTTGGATGTCAACCTGAGTTTTAAAAATCGTGACAAGGTAAAGTACGACCTATTTACAATCTATGTGTTATATTATTGCTAAGGTTACACCTTTGTTTGGTACTGAGCCCCAGAATGTCACTAATTTCGTATTGTTGTATGTCTCCGTTAGTGGTTTGCGTTATATGTTTAATGTTTTCTTAATTTATTTTAAGGTGGTCCATTGGTTATTTAGTTTATTCAAAACTTTAGAAAACGTTTTGAATAGATTCCTTATTTATTACAAGAATTACGATGACATCTGCACACGTTATTTGCTATATAAAGTATTACTTTTAATGATACCTTACATCCAATTTCAATTCAAAATCATTTGATGGCTATTTATTATTGACATTCGGTTTTTCAGTAGAATGCTATGTATTTGCTGTAAATGTTATTATTTGAAATGATTCATATATAGAAAATTGATTTTCATAAAAACTGAGATGATATTAGTGCATCAATTCTGTTGTGCTTTAAATATATAAAAATGTTTTATTCTCTATTAAAAATCATTTTAACGTTAAGCATTTTCCAAATGGATATACCCATAAACGTATATAGTAATAAAAATTAAAAAAAAAATTTAATATAGACAATAGAATAAAGAGCATGATGTATATATAGTTTTAGTAATATTAATTTATGAGAAATCGTGATCCTGATGATGACTCTCAAGGAGAGTCGAAATATAGAATCTATTAAAAAATATTAAACAAACGTTGAATTATTTAACAAAAAGTGATCTATAGCCGGATAAAAAAAAGAATATATTAAAACCATTTTAAAAAAAATTTAAAATATGTGTAAGACGTATTAAACACGTACGTGATAAATACAATTACTAATTTTTATAATATAAATTTAGAGGGTTTTCGAATAAATAGAGGTTTTTAAATAAAGCTTCTTTGTCACCATGTAAAGAAAGCGTAGCTTTTCATAAACATTAATACTTTATTCTATAATATTAATTATTATATAATTTTTTTTAAAAGGCGTATATGTAAAATATTGTGTTAAAATATAGATAAATAAATTATATTTATATTATTGATTTCTAACACAACTGACATCACGCGGTTTAATTGTCTATGTTTTCCATTATTATATGACTTAATATTTATTTATTTAGTTTTATTTATTTACTTGTTTATTTTTGTTTACTAAAAAGTACGGTAAACATAATGTAAATAAAATGCTATTTGAAAAACAATTGAAAAATGTTAGAAAGTACCAGAACTTTCGTAGTGTTGAGTTGACCTCATTTAAGATCTAATACACGTGATTCAGCATTTCACAATAATTGCAATACTTTTATAATAATTATATTATATCAATATTTTTTATTAATTATATTACATTTATAAAATAAATGATACACATAACAAATTTTAAAAATTTGCAGTAGAAATTAAAAATTATAATTATAAATAAATATTGTACAACAAATAAAAATTAAATAAATAAATATCATATTAGAAATATATATTTTTTTATATAAAAATATACAAAATATCTATTAAATATACATAATTTAAATTTATGTTGATATTGATATTTAAATAAAATTGTAAATAGTGTACGATTTATTTAAATTTATAAAATATAATAATAAAATATTACTAAGTTGTTTTTCTTACCTTTTTAATTTTTCCTTTTATTGTATAAATTTTTATATTGAAATTATTGATTAATTTGAGGTTCAAGTTCACTCCTCAAACTCGTCGTATTTGCCCTTTAATTTAATATTTGCAATTTATGAGTTTTTTTTCTTCGTTTTCACTTATGCAAAAATTATTACAAAATTGACAAATGAATCAATTACGTCGCAAGTTGCTTATTCATTTAATAAAACGTCAATAACTTTTAACTCTTTTTATTTTGTGTTGATAATGATAAAAAAAAGTGTAAAAGTTTATTGGCTTTAATTTATAAAGCACACACAAAAGCGCTTCTGCGTTAGATAATTTAAAAATAAAAAACTGTTAAAACATAAAATAAATTTTTCGTTTTATAAATTTTATTAGAATCCTCTAATCTTTTTCTAAACTATTTACTATTTACATAGTATTTTTGCGATGATCTTCCGTATTCCCGATTTGTTCGTGATCAGCTTCTGAACGTTTAGCGCTCACAATATTAGTCAGCATACATAAGCCGCAACTACCCGACGACCGTACTCACACGCAGCCTGTTGAAAACTGACTTGCTGAAGTGATCTTATACACTTGTTTGCTTGCTTGCTTACTACTTAGTATATTGTTCGGTTTGTTGTGATGTTGTTTTTGTTTTTGTTGTTGTTATTATTATTGTTGTTGTTCTATACATTTGCTCCGTTTAACGCTACGATTAATATCGTTCGTATGTGTTTGGATTTTGTTTTAGCACAGCTGTTTAAATCCGTTCTTTGCATATCAACAATGTATTTAGAAGTGATTAGGTTAGTTCTGTGTATTGTTGATACAGAGTAGTTGAGTTTTCATAACTGATAGCGCCAATATATCATATGCAGGACTTTTCGTTGCTGCATATTGCACTGCTGTTGAGCGGCGTTTAACTCAAAAAAATGTGTATCGGAATTATAGTTTCTCATGAAAATATTAGTAGCTGAGAATGAGTAGCTGAGAGTAATGGCTGAGATATATGGCGGCAGTGCTTATACAGCAGGCAGCACGTTGTTGTATTGTTTTTCTGATAAGAATAATTTTCGATCTCGTGTCTATTCGTTGAACTACGAACTTTGTTATTGTACCCGAATACCCAAATACCCGAATACACGAAACCTCGTTCGTTGTTTATGTTATAAACAAACGCATCATCGTAGTGAGCGCTTAGAATGGCGGAAAAGTTTAGCGGTCTCCCAGGAAAAGAAAATAAAAACAAAAGGAAATAAGTTTTAATTGAAAATGAAAATTCATGATCACATGTTGGCTTATTAAATTCTTGTTGTTGGTTCGTTGGATCACTGGTTTGTTGGTTTGTTGGTTTGCTGGTTATAATACGCAATAACAACAAACAATAATAATTATGTTGAAAGCCGGCACTAATCGTACGAGTGTAATATTGCCTGCCTGACATATTGACGTGTGTGTCTCGTTTTTACAGACAAGTTTGCTTTTAGCGTAACTGGTTTTTGTGTGCTGATCAGCTGTGTTCTTAAAGGCAGTTGCAGTTGGTGTGGAATTTAATCGTCATATTAATATATACACACATTCACGTGCATATATAGCGACGTGTGTTATGATATGTGGATCGATGGTAGTATTGATGACGGTGTTACTATCGCTGCATTCAGTGTAAACTGATGATAATGAATGGGATTGATGTCTTAACAACGTTTTATAATTATTTTTATTTGTGTTCTGGTATTCTGGTATTTTTGTGTTTATGTTTGTATTTTTAAATCTGTTTATCGGTATCTGTTTATTGTTTTGTTTATGGCAGGCTTGGCATAATGTGACTTTAACTTTGTATGCTCATCATACTAATATAGATACATATGTATATCGATTTGTTTAGTTTGTTGTAGAATCCATAATTACAATTGCGTTGTTGGAATTAATCATTAAATTACATATCACACAAAAATGCAGTTGGCGTTATTTCAATTAAAAGTCAACCCTTTTAAAATACATTGATTATTCCTAAAATAGAATAGTTGATCATATTTTTAAATTTAAATTATTTTTGGATTTTATTAATTCCTTATTTGCATAAAAGTTTTCTCATATAACAAAATATTTGCATGATCTTTTTGTATAAAGTAGACTTTGCAATTCTGGCAAATATAGTTAAAAGTCTTTCAAAAGATGTGTGAAAGATTGAATGAAAGTCAGTTTGTAAGATTCAAAATAAGATTACCAAATGCATTGGTGATTTCTTAAATAGAATAGTTGATCATATTTTTAAGTTTAAATTATTTTTGACTTTTATATTAATTCCCTATTTGCATAAAAGATTTCTCATATAAAAAAATATTTGCATGATCTCTTTTATATAGTAGACTAATAGAGCAATTCTGACAAAAATAGTTAAAACTCTTTCAAAAGATGTATGAAAGATTGAATGAAAGAAAGTTTGTAAGAGTCAAAATACATTGGTGATTCCTAAAATAGAATAGTTGATCATATTTTTAAGTTCAAATTACATTTGATTTTTATTAGTTCCCTATTTGCATAAAAGATTGCTCATATAAGAAAATATTTGCATGATCTCTTTAATAAAGTAGACTAACAAATCAATTCTGACAAAAATAGTTAAAAGTCTTTCAAAAGATGTTTGAAAGATTGAATGAAAGACAGTTTGTAAGCTTTTTGCTATTCTAGCACATTCCTTTCGTGGGGAAATTAATAACAGCTAATCGCTTAATAAAGTAGCGATTATAGTTTAATTAACTTAACAATTTCATTTGAGTATGATGGAAAGCCGCAATTTATATGTTTACTAATTATTTTTTATACATAAACAATTATTTACTGAATTTAACTCATGTCATCAAAAAAATTGTAGTAGCTATTGTCACAGTAGTAGCAAAAAAGAAACTTAATTATTTTTAAAATTACACCTTAAATATCTATAAATAAATAAGTTAATCAAATCTAAATAAATGAAGAAAATATATATTATACATAAATGTATAAAATTTATATTTTAAAACTTTTATAGAGTATATTATTTTTGAAGTTAGCGTTGTATTAGAAATAAAATTAGAAATAATTATTCCATCTTGCAAATTTCAATTAATTAATTAATAGTTTTTATTTTTATGTTTTTTATTTTATGTAAAGAAAATTTTATACACGAAAAACACAAACAAAATCTAAGATGATAAGCAAGAACTTTTAAGACGTTTACCAGAATAATTAAAAGCATTATACTGATTTGAAAATTGTTATTTTCTTGTGTACAAGTTATAAAAATACTTTATAATTATCTATTTCTTCTAATGTTGTAAAATTTCCAGGAACAACCTTTTATGGGTTAAATCCATTTCTACATAAAATGAAATAGAAATTCTTGAATGAAATAGTAAAAACTGCAATGCTTTGCGTTGAATCTGCAGCCAATGAATCTAAAACTTGTTATTCACTTCACAGAATTGTTGTGATTTGTAGTTTTCTGAACTAGTTAGCAAACCGATACTCCTTGTCATTGGTTTTCAAGGAATAGATAAATAATAATTACACATTTTCTTTCATAATGTAAGAACACAAAACCAAAACAAAGTGGACAAAAATCATTTCTTACATATAGTTTTATTAAGATCAGTAGGATGAGAGGCTTTAACTTAGTAAGTGATGCAGTTATGGGAGCCAAAATTAAATTTTCAATTAAAATTAGTATATTTTTCATGCCACATAAAATCAATAATCATATTACACCGAAGTCTACCGTTAATGGTAGAAGGTGACCCTCAGTTGTATTAAAATATACACCGACTATATGTATATAATTTTAAACTCAAGTTTCTTAATAATTTTGAACTATTTTGAAATATTTCAGAGATATAGGTTTTTAGAAGTGACAATATTTCATATATTTTGCACTCTGTTTTTAAAACAATACCACAAATCGTTCCTCTTCTTTCTTGAAATTTTTTCATACACTTAAAAACTTATACGATAATAGTTAAAAGTAAGTTTAAAAAAGTAAATATTTTAATAAAGTTATATACAATCGATATATATTATAGTAATAAGAAATAATTAATAAAATGTAGTCTTTAATATTGTTAGGTAGAATCTGTTTCTAAATTTCCTACTTTCAAGGTGTTGCGGCACGCTTTAATTTCAATCTTTTCCACATCTTATTTCTTTGCACTAAGGTACCATTATCAAGAACCGAAATAATATCATAATCAAGAAAGAAAATAATTTTATTATTTGATAAAAATAACAAACGAACAAACAATCATCTGAATGATGCCTCCAAATGGAAATCTTTATTAAGAATATTAATGTCATAAGGAAGTAAAAATTCTCGAGTGCGAATGGATTGGTTTTGATTAGCATTTACACCTTAGTTCATAGTATTGATATTTTTACCAGTATGTTAATGTTTTTGGCGAGCTAGATTCGTAACATCATCATTTGATATTAATTTTTTAATTACTAGGGAGCTCTGCCCCCTGGTAGCTTCGCACGCCAACCACTATTATATATACACGTACTCTTTCATATTCAAAAATATGCATGTGCTTTTAACTCTCTCTAAAAGGGACACCAAATTTTGTTCCAGTTTTGAAGATGAATTTGTTATAGTTAAAAAATTTGATATACATGTAGCTTTTTTACCTATAATAGAGAAAAGGAGAGAGCGCGAAAAAGAAGGGAAAAGAGAGAAAGGGGAGGAGACAGATATAAATAGGGAGAGAGAGATGGGAAGAGAGAGAGAGAGTGAGAAGAGAGAAATGGAATGAGAGAAAGAGAGATGGAGTGAGAGGGAGAGATGGGAAGAGAGAGAGATAGAAAGAGAGAGAAACAGAAAGAAAGAGAGAGAGAGAGAAAGAGAGAAAACACACCGGCACACATTACTTTTTTTATAATAAAAAGATATTATAACTTTATCACTATTATCATGTTAATGATGCGATTTTTAATCAACAAAAAATTTTTTCAGATAAAATGCTTAATTTGCTTTTAAACTAATTTTATTTGATTTTATTTTCTCTTATATTTAAAATTTTTAAATTAAAAAACCAAAAAAAAAAATTAATTTGGCTGAACCAAATTATTGGCACAGCTAATGCAAAAATTAAAAAATAAATCAAAAAAAATATTTTCAATAACAATTAATTAGTGGTCAAGCTTTTCTATTTAATAACAGCTATT